TAACAGAAATAATAACGAAGGGGATTCATTCTGTGCAGGTCTTGGGAACTTTACAGGCACTGTGCCATAGCAGTATCTCCATGACAGTCTTGTGAGTTCATGCCATCGTTATCTGCATGTGATCAATGAGAGAATGGTCGTCTCTGGTTAAGAGGTCATCTAAGAGGTTAAGCCACAGACCTAAAATTCACAACTAGCAATGACAGAGTTGAGACTTAACACCCAGATCTTTCCTTTCTCCAAAGCTTGGTGTGTAACTGGTATGCTGACTCAAACCCAGCAAATTGAGGGAGACAGTGAATAGAATGTCTTTAGCACATTGTGGAACACTTAATAAGCGCAATTTCGGTCTGGTGCCTAGGTCTGTGCAGCCAGGCTGGCCCGCCATGAGGACAAGCATCTGCTTCACCCCTCCCTCCCTAGGCTTCCCTGGTGAGCAAGGGGCCGCCACATGCTGAAATGCAGGATGGGCAGGAGGGATGGGAGAGTCATTGAATTATTCATGTCTAATTCCACTTGTCTAATGGACTTGTTAAAAGCACCCTGGGTGGAAAGTGTGAGTCTTAATGGCATTTTATAAAAGTTGCTGTGATGAATTAGCACATAAAGCAAATTAAAAGCAGCTTATCACTTTTTAAAATAGGTGACGGGGCACTGTAGCCTCTTCCCCAGATGTGATGATCCATTAATATCCAAAGGAGCCAGGAGCTGCTGAAATGTGTCAGCTGCTTGTTTTTAGGGACCTGGCGAGTCTAAATCAGTGTGATCCTAGAGAGGCAGTTTGTCTAAGATAATAGAACTCATGGAGAGAGCGTGTTGCTGATCCCAAGGGTGGGAAATCTCCCCTCAGGAATACTTCGGGGAACTTCCCTGGTGGTCCAGTAGCTAAGATTCCATGCTCCCAATGCAGGCCCAAGTTCAGTCCCTGGTCAGGGAACTAGATCCCACATGCCGCAACTAAGAGTTCCCATGCCGCAACCAAAGATCCCGCATGTTGCAACTGAGACCCAGCACAGCCAAGTAAATAAATGTTTTCTTGAAAAGATGACTTGAGACTGGAATGGAGCTCAGTAGAATGAATGGGTCACCTGCTGAGGACCTTTGGGATTGGTTTCTGCTGCCCTCCCCTTACAGACCGGGACCCTGAGACTTGAAAGAAGTGGAGCTTTCAAAGTGAAAGTGTTAGTCGCTCAGTTGTGTTCGACTCTGCGATCCCATGGACTGTAGCCCATCAGGCTCCTCTGTCCATGGGATTCTTCAGGCAAGAATACTGGAGTGGGTTGCCATTCCCTTCTCCAGGGGATCTTCCCAACCTGGGGCTCGAACTCAGGTCTCCTGCTTTGCAGGCCAGGCTCTTTACCAGTCTGAGTCACCACGGGCTTTCAAAGATCATCCTAAATATTTCCACAGACCTTTCTGAAGGTCTGCCTTGTACCCAGCACTAAACTGGGTCTTGAGGACACAGAGGAGTTTTAGATATCTTTGTACACAGTCCATATGACAGCTTCTAAGTGGCGCAGTTGGGACCCAGAAACTGGAATTCAAATCCCAGTGCATTTTTCAGAATAACTATCCTAGTAGTATTAGGTAACATTTATTGAGCGCTCGCTACTGCCAGGCTGTGTTACAATACTTCACATGTATTATTTCATCAAATCCTCACCACAACTCTTCAAGGTGGCTGGTGTTATTACTATGCTATTTTATAATTAAGAAAGCTTGAAACCCAGAGACATTAAGTACCTTGTTCATGATCACAGTTAAAAAGTTGCAAACCCAAATAGTCTGACCCTAGAGCCTGCCTTCTTGGCCACCACCTGCCAGTTTTCCTGATGTCTTTTTACCTCCAGTCCCCACACTTTACATCCAGAAGAACCTGAAGCTGAACTAGAGGTTTGGAGACCTTAAGATAAGGAATGCTGGGGACAGGAGCTGAGCAGTAAGGGAACTTCAGGGGTCTGGGGGAGAAGAGGTGGTCAGCTCTGAAGGGAAGCATAGAATTTCCTGGTACGGCCGAGTCGTGGGCACTGTGATGAAATAACTAGGGATGTGCATTTTGGAGTCAGGCCTTATTCTGGGTTCAGTTTCTACCACGTGTTTACTTGTGACCTGGGGCAGATTTCTGAACTTCCTGAACCTCCTCTCCTATCTATTAAACAGAGATACTAATAGTTACCTTTCAGGTTGTTATGATGTCAAATGTAGGAGAATGAACACAAAGGGCCAGGCCCCCTAACGTGGGCATGAATAGTGCTTGTCATCATGATTCTCATCCTTGCCCCCTTGTCACCACCTTCATCCCCTTCCAGACTGACGTGGGGTCAGGGGGCAAGGTGGAGACCACTGAACTAGGACTTAGGACCGAGAGCTCAACACTCCAGCCCCAGGTTGCTGCCTCTAAGCCACGTATCCTGTGTTAGTTGGTGGGGGCCTCACTTGGTGTGCCCCTCACCTATAAAAAGGGGGATACTAAATACTGTATCTGTTGTACTTTCTTTCTAGGAATGGATCGAGGCACAAATGAGAAAGTGTATGTAAATATGGTTTCCAATCTATGAAGTGAGTGTTGGGGGTCCTGAGGACATCTCCCAAGTAGGAGGGCTTGTCGGACTCTCATCTTCATGGCTATGATTATTGCAGAAAGTGGATACAAAGCCAGCTCAGCAAGAGGAAAAGAGCCTGAGACAAGGGCCAGAGGAGATGAGGTGCCAGCTTGCAGGAGTCCTCTCCCTGTGACGTCAGGAAGGACATACTTAAGTCCTCCAGCAATGGATTGTGGCAACAGGTGTAGAGTGTTGTCTACCAGGGAAGCTCCTGAGACTCAGTGTCCGGGGATTGTATTTGGGGCTGCTCACATAAGCGCCCTCTCTGCCTGGCACTTACCACAATTCCAGACTCCCAGGGGAAAAGCAAGCACTCGGCTTAAATGATACTGTTTATGTAGACAGTTTAGGCACAGTAAGCCATTCTTAACAGGAAATGGAAAGAAGCCTCCCAAAAGCTGAGTTCCCAAATGTCAGCCAACGGCTGTCCTTATATGCAGGCCTTTTTAAGGGATGCAGCCTCGGGTCGTTATGTCAGTCTGTTTTTGCAGAGTAGAATCCTTAGAAAGGATATTTATAAGTATACACTCAGAAGGGGAAAAGGAGGTGTTTAACAGCAGCAACAAAAGTTCATACTTAACGACTGTCACTGTGTGTAGGCACCTCTGTGTACGCTTTACATGCATTACCTTAGGCAGCATTTCATCCATAGCACAATCCCATGATAGAGGCACAGTTATCATCTCCGTTGTTGAAATCACTGTGTCCTATACGGGGGAACTGGGTCCTCAGAGGGGCTCAGGAGGGTGCCTGGGTTACCAGCTGTGTGACTGGTAAGAGAGAAGTGCCAGGGCCAGAACACAGCCCTAACAGTGTGGCCCCTGAGTCTGCTTTCTTAGCCACTGTTAGACTACATTCTGCCCGATGCATCCAATATGTTGTTTCATTAAAGCTCACAGCAGCTCCAAGTGAATACAGTTATTGGACTAATTTTGCATTTAAAAAACTGTGGTTCTGCAATGTTAACTTGTGTCTCATCCGCCAGCCAGAGGAGTGACAGAGTCAGGAGTGGGTCTCTGCCTCCTCTCAGCCCCCTTTTCCTGGTGAGGGTTTTGTGAAGTCTTTGGTAAGGAAGATGCAGATGGTTAAGGTGGAAATGAGTCATTCTGGGAGCTGAGACACCCCCCTCACCATATCCCACCACTTGGGGACAGAGTTAATGGAAGAAGGGCTGTGTTGCAAGTAATTCAGCTTTTCCTGCAGTATTTGAGGGCCTTCAACTCATTTGGGTTGCCATCACAGCAGATGTGACATTTCTTTCATGAGAGGGGGGAAAAGAAAGCAAAAGAATCACACTAGTCCTCAGTGATTTTAGACAAATCTGTCCACCAGATCTAGCTAGTTTTGCTTGCATAGTGGCTACACTCTAAGGAAATTGTTAGAATAGAATCAAAGTGGAAATAAACAGGGACACGGCAAAGTCTGCCTCTCCAGGGAAATCACAGGTAGTGTGTGTGTGGTGATGGTTTGTGGGAGACACAGAAAGAGGTGGACAGATTGTCAGCTGCTCGGGGGCAAGAGCTAAGGTCTTGGTCATCATTTAATTCTGCTTCCAACTCCTTTACCCCACCAGTCATGCCTATTACAGTGTTAGGCTTAGTAAAGGCTTTTTAGTGGGGAAAACATGATACATATGGCGAGAATTACAATTCAGAGTGATAAATGCAATGACAAGGTAGGCTTGGTATTCTGTGAAAGCAGTTTGATCCATCTGAGAAGATTTTTTCATCACACAAAATGCTGCACTCAGAAAGATGCTCATCATTCTCTTCATTATTTACTTCTTTATAGTGATTTAAAAAAATTGATTGTAGTGAGAGAGAAAAAAAATCTCAATAAGGTACTAACCTACCTTTATCATCTTCCATTATTACCTTGTTGCATGCGATGATCTCCACAAAGCAGTATCCCAGGTTTTTTTCAGTATTTTTCTTATTGTGGCAAAGTCACATAATATAAAACATACTATTTTGGCCATATTTAACTGTACGGTTCAGGGGCCCTAAGTGCATTCAGACTGTTATGCAGTTCTTACCACCATCCATCTCCTGAATTTTTCACCTTTCTAAAACGAAAACTCTGTTCCCATTAGACACTAACTCCCCATTCCCCCTCCTTACTCTCCACTCCCTGGAGTCTGGCATCTACCAGAGAGCAGAACCCCAGGTTAAGGGCCCCTAATAGGCTGCCCTTGCAGCCTCCAGGAGAAGTAAGAAGTAACCTTGATTTATGACCAAAGCAGTGGGAACATTGACTGGGATTCCAGGGGTTAGTCCTGGGAGTGTGTACCCAGCGGACAGGGGGTTCTCAGGGCAAGAGTGAATAATCGAAATGATGAATCCTAGATCTGAGCTGCCAGAGATTCCTAACATTGTTCTCTTATGTCCTTTCTTCCAGAGCCATGTTTGACTATGACAAAAGCAAGGACAGTGGACTGCCGAGTCAAGGACTTAGTTTTAAATACGGAGATATTCTCCACGTTATCAACGCCTCTGATGACGAGTGGTGGCAAGCCAGGAGGGTCACGCTGGAGGGCGACAGTGAGGAGATGGGGGTCATCCCCAGCAAGCGGAGGTAAGGAGGCCTTTCCCATCCTGAGGATTTGCTGCTCACCTCCCCGGGGTGTGGAGGGGAGGGGAGATGAAGATGTGGCAGATCATTCCCAGGATGTGTTTGAGTGGGTTAGTCAGTCTGCGCAGAAATTGTCAGTGGGGACAGGGGACACAGATTAAATATTCTCCCTCTTCTCATGTTAGGTTTTTACCCAAACTGGTAACTGTGATACAGCATAAAGCAAGAAAGAGGATCTGCTTATCCTGCCTCCCTAACACTTGCCGGCTTTCATATGTTCAGGGGTATGCTTATCAGCTTGTATGCTGACTTACAGACTCAGAGGGCTTACTTCAGAGGTTCATCATTTACTGGGTTACTTATAGGAAATCCAGGTGAAAGCCAAGTAAAAGAGAACATTTTCAAAGCTGAGGTCCTGGCTTTGTATTCTGTCCAAACATTGATGGATAAAGACTAAAAAACTCCAATCCAGAATCAGATACTTGGGTATAAACAACATGGTCCTGTCTAGTACAGAGAACTATATTCACTATCCTATGATAAACCATTGTGGAAAAGAATATTTAAAAAGAATGTATGCGTATATATAACTGAATGACTTCACTGTGCAGCAGAAATTAACACAACATTGTAAATCAACTATACTTCAATTTAAAAAATTAAAAGCTAGCTTCATTGGAGAAAAAAAACAAAATTATATTCTTGAGCTGTGAGCTGCTGAATATCTGGTGAGTTCCAAAGAGTGGGTTTACAGAGGTTTATTTACAGCTTCAGTTACTCCTGGTCCCCACCCCAACCAGCTTCCACTCAGATATTTAGTTCTGTATATATTTCCTAAGTCAAGACTACTATGTTCTAGTATATGTATGGCTGAGTCCCTTCACTGTTCACTGAAACTATCACAGTTGTTAATCGGCTATGAAGTGAAGTGTTAGGGCTCAGCTGTGTCTGACTCTTTGCAACCCCATGGACTGTAGCTCTCCAGGCTCCTCTGTCCATGGGAGTCTCCAGGCAAGAATACTGGAGGGGGTTGCCATTTCCCTGTCCAGGGGATCTTCCTGACCCAGGGATCGAACCCATGCCTCCTGCACTGCAGAAGCCACCAGGGAAGCTCTGTTAATTGGCTGTACTCCGATACACAACTGAAAGTTCAAAAGAAAAGGAATATTATGTTCTTTCTCTTCTAAGCATTTCTTCAACTCTGCTCTTGAAAGGCAGGAATAAACTTCAGAACAACCGCATCCTTCGTCTGTCCCCAGCAGCTTCTGCCCATCACTGCTAGAAAGGAACTCTTCTTCCCCTGCGTATCCTCTTGGCACCAAAATACTGTCTGATAAACAAATGATCTGCTCCCTAGAGACGAGATGGTATGAAGTCAAACTCAGGAATAATGTTTATTCAAAACAGTTACTAACTTTTTTCAAGCCACGGAGGGCTCTCCTCATCGAATCCAAACATCCCAAATACCTTTGTAGAAAATCCTCCTGAAGCTGAGTATTCAAATGCTGCACACACAGAGTGACCCAGTGACCGAGGTAGCGCCAACCACCATGGGAAGATGGAAATTCTCCTCAAGAATAACTGTGGGCCATTTGAACCTCAGAGAAGACTGGTCCCCCGTCTTTTCCTGCCGGTGGCCACACAGCCCAGGGTGGATGTGAGGAAAGCGGGCAACGTGACTGTCTCCCTCCCCACCCTCTAAGCCTGGGCCTGTGGGTCTCCCACCAGCAGACAGTTCTCTAAACTCCTGGAAGTACAAGTGAAAATATTAGTCACTCAGTCGCATCCGACTCTTTGCAACACCGTGGACCATAGGCTTCTCTGTTCATGGAATTCTCCAAGCAAGAATACTGGAGTGGTTTGCCATTTCCTACTCCAAGGGATGTTCTCAACCTGGGGATTGAACCCAAGTCTCTTACATTGCAGGCAGATTCTTTACCATCCAAACCTCTGGGGACCTGCATAATTGTCTGACGTTGCTTTGAGAGGACATTCTGAGTTTGTAGTTTTTTGTTTTCTGAATTTGAAGCAGTAACTCCCAGGAGTAGTATATATTCTGTTTTTCCACTTCCATTTAATTTTGAAAAATATCAAGGCAGCAAGCATTTTGGTTTGCTTTGATGTGATTAATCAGAGCTGTCTGCAGGGCTGTTCTGTAGAAGAAGGAGCCATCTTGTTGAATACAGGTAGAAATGGGTGGAGAAGGAAAGCTGTCTGGAAAGAGATTTCAAGTAATTTTAAGGAAATCCTTTTAGTAGTTGGAGCTGCCTAGAGATGGTATGGGTTACCTGGGAAGACAGTGGCTTTGACACCAAGGGAACATTATGAAAACTTAAGGTACGCCCACTCTCTCCCTCACACAGACACACAGAGTGACTCTGATTCAGTCCATCTGGAGATCTGTATTTGTGTGTATGTCCCTGTAGATGGTTCTGATAATAGAAGATTCCAGGGCACTAAGTATTATAAAAGGGAAGCAAGCTTTGAGTGGGACAGCCGAGCTACGTAATTTTCTGTCACTTTCCAACCCTGAGATTCTGTGATTCTAACCAGTCTTGTCAATATTTCATTTGTGGAACTGTACATCACTGTCCTCCAAGGAACATTCTCAGTGTTAGTCCTCCTGGGTAATTTTCTGCCTGCTGGAGGTCACTCTTGAATTGGCTCTCTCTCAAATATTTTAGGAGAAGGAAATGGCAACCCACTCCAGTATTCTAGCCTGGAGAATCCCATGGACAGAAGAGCCTGGTGGGCTGCCAGCTGTGGGGTCGCACAGAGTTGGGCACGACTGAAGTGGCTTAACAGCAGCAGCAGCAAATATTTTAGGAGAAAACCATCCTAACCGCCATGCTGGCCTGGAGAAGAAGTGTGTCTCATGACTCTAATGTTGACATTTGCATTCTTGCTCATGAAGGGTGCAGTATTGCCCATCTCATCTGTGTGTGTGTGTGTGTGTGTGTGTGTTTATGGCTGTAAATGTATTTATATTAAATTTTCTCCTTAGGATGGTAACTCTTTCCAAAAATGCTACTATTATTGTTTTATGTGTTTATAAAAGTAACACATTTCATTGTAGAAAATGGGAAAATTTAGAAAAGTATCAAGAAGAAATGAAAGTCACTTATAATCATACCCCACAAAGCATTCGTGTGCACTTACCTTAATGCAATTTAAAACCTGTCATGAGCCTTCCCTCAGGCTGCTCTTTAATGCTTAGCTTCTAAAGAAGGCACTCTCATTTTCTACTGCATTCAGCATCTTATAACTATAGCTCAGAATAAGTGGTTGCTGGTACGCATATGATTTATTATTAGATTAGGGTTATTTTTTTCAATCCTTAATTCCTCTCTGGCCCCTTTTCACTTAGAGGCCAGAGAGGAATTATAGTTCAGCTCCTAGAGCCAGTTTGGAAAAATTTCATAATGGATAACATCAGTTTATGACTTTACCCTTTATAAAAATGTACTGTATTGATGATTCCATTTAATCATTTCAATGAAACCATAAGATGAAGAGTATGAAAATCATTGCCTTTTCCCTCTCTCTTTTTTGAAGTTGGTAAATAATTTTTTTTTAAATAAATGCTCCTTGAACATGCTAGACACTGTAGTAAGCCCTTTACAATTAATTAACTTATTTAAACCTCATTACAACCCTATGGGGAAGGTAATATAATTATCTTCATTTTACAAACCAGGAGACTGAAGCAGAGAGAGGTTAATTTACTTGCCTGAAATTGCCCAGCTAATAAATGGCATAACTGGGACTTGATTCCAGGCTGTAACACTCTTAACTCATATGCAATTCCTGCCACCCAACATTATAGAAATAAGAATTGACAAAGTTCAGTTCAGCAAGCAGCACATGAGCACCGTCTGTGTGCCAAGTGCTGGCATCAGGTCACTGCCTGGAGCTCGGTGTTTGTGGGACCAGCATGTAACTATGGCACAGTTACAGTGGTGAGGACAGAGGGCTGTAGTGTAAATAAACGTGCTGTCTTAGTTCCGGCTGCTGAGACAGAATGCCATCACTGGGTGCGTTGGACAACAGACATGTATATTTCGCAGCTTTGGAGTTCAAAATCTAAAGCTCTAGCCATTCAGGTTTCCAGAGAGAGGACCTTCCTCCTAGTTTGCAGACAGTCCTCTTGCTATTTCCTCATGTGGGTGAGAGAGAGAAAGAGAGAGAGGTCTTTTCTCTCCTGTCTCTTCTTTTTGGCCACTAATCTGATTCATGAGGGCTCCACCCTCACGACCTTATTACCTCCCAATGCCTCACCACCATAGACCACCACCCTGGGGATTGAGGCTTCAACATATGAATTTTGTGTGGACACAAAACATTCAGTCCATAGCAAGCATCAAGGGAAGTGAAAGGGCCCAGACAGAGGAGTGAATTCCATATGATGATAGACTGTGTATTGTGCTGGTGCTTTCAAATAGAAGATTTTCTCTAATCTTCACAAAAGCTTCCTAAGGAAACTGAAGATCAGAGAAGTCAGGTAACTTCCCCAAGGATGCAAGTCAGCCACTGGCCTAGGTCTCTCTGTAGCAAGACCAGATTGCTTTTCACTACCCCAAAGGTATACTAGAAGCCCTTGACAGGTAAGAAGCCCTTACACGTTTCAAATACTGTACTAACCATTTTTGGTATTATTTAATATTCAGCATAATTTTTCAAGTCTGTCTTAATATCCCAATTTCACCAGTCTCATGAAACCTGAGATCCTAAGAGGTTAAGTGACCTACCCTAAGTCACAGAGCTAGTAAGTGGCAGATGGAGAGTTCCAATGCATATTTGTGTGATTTCTAAACCTGGGCTCTTAGCACAGAATCTCTCTTTTCTGAGATTACATAGTTTCTGAAGAGCCAAGCTGGGATGTGTTCCCCTGTCTCTTAATCCAAGTCTCTATTCATTGCCCCACAGTGACTGGGCTCAGATGGCAGCTTGCAGGTAGCACTGAGTAAGTGTTCATTCACTTAGCTTCCCTGCAAGCCTGTGGCCAGTAACCTGTATGGCGTTTCAGTCCTCCCTGCACCGGGGCCTGGGGGGCACAGGCAAAGGGATGCCCAGCCCCAAATGCTGTTCTGACCATCCAGTGCTGCAGGCCTGTGTGTTTGGCGGGAACCTGAAAATGCCAGATGGGAGGAGGGTAAGAGGACAGAGGAAGACAGTTGGGCTCATTAAAGCATGGCCATTTGGTGCTCTCTGGAGATACTGGATGACAGAACTGATTGCTCAAATTTTGCTATCCAGTTTAAGGCAGAGAGGATTATTTCTGCTTAAACAATCTAATTAATTGCTTGCCTCTTGAGTATGAGAGAAGTATGTCAGTCCTTCTCATCACAAGTCAGTCTTTGCATGTAGGTAACCCACCATTTCCTTAGGTTCTTAACATCATGTATTTCTGCCCAAGGAGTCTCACTTAGTAGAACAGAGAAGGTGATGCTACACTTTTACATAGATTCCTACCAAGGAAAAAAGTCAGGAAATGGTCAGCAAGTTTTTTTCAGAAACACTGGTTGTTTAGGCAAGTCACTTCAACTCTCTGAGCCTTAGGTTTCATATCCAGGTCAAGAACCAGTAAGCCTCTTTGATGATTCTTTCATTCATTTACCAACAAAGATTAAGCACCTGCTATATGCCCAGCTTCATCTTAAACCCTGGATTATTATGCCAATTATAGATAATATAGGTAAGGTGGTTAGCATGCATCTAATGCTTTTGTGCTTACTCAAATGATATACATTTTCCTTTCTCCAAATTTTGAGCTTTTGATGCTCAGAAAAGCACAGTCTTATGTAGGGACCTATCTCTCAGCCCAACTGATCTTGGCAATAAACTGTCCACATGCATCCCAAGAAGCACTAGGAGAGAGGACAGGGCTGAGGCAAGTGAAAAAAAAAGGTAAGCCACACCCCTTGCTACCCAGGATAAAAGATTTGCAGAGACCCCCAAGAGGCAATTGGCGTGGGCCTCTGGCGTGAAAAACACAACTATGGCTGGGGATGCAATAAATGTGAAAAGATTGCTGAGGAGAGAAATCAATCCAGTGTTTGTGATGTCAGATTGCAAATAGACATCTGGCTAACCTGAATTTCAGTGCGAAAAGCAAATTCATTCTGAGTTTTGAGGCCAGCCTGTCAAAACAGGTATTATGTCAGTGACTCAATGCTTGAATTTGGTTATGGTTTATTTAATTGAGGACAATCGGGATTTGGGATGCAAAGAAGGAGGATGGTTGTCATTTGTGAGAAAGTAGGCCCTGACTCCTAAGGAACTATATTGGTCTTGAATTGTGGCTAACCCTCTACAGTCTCATGGGTGTTAAATCCCACTGGATAAGGGAGGCATGGAAGGTCCTTAAATACTGTTTCCCAAACAGAATGGATGTGGTCAGACTCTGTTGGAAGATACGTGCTCAGTCCCTATTTCTACCATTTTCTAACTTAGGAAGCTTTGAGTCTTAGCTTTTCCAACCATACAGTGGTTCTGAGAATACCACACTTGGTTATTGTTAGGGTCAAATGAAGATGTAAATGTGAAGGACTTTTTCATTAATAATTATATGTTAAATTTTCAGTTACCACTTATATCATCATCTTTATTATTCATGAAACTTCCCACCCAAGTAGAAATCAAAGTTTTCCGATTTCCTTCTTGAGTGAACCAAAATCTGCCACTCCTACAGTAAGGCTTTAATTTTTTTTTTTTAACTTTTTTTGTTGCTTGTTTGAAGATCAGTAATAAACCATATCACATATTAGGTGTGTTTGTGTGTGTCTCCATCTGTCTGTTCATCTGACTTAGTCTTTGCAACTTGTTTAAGATTTAAGTGATGACCCACTAAGGTGGCCTAATAGAAACATTTCTGAAGGAACATGCAAGGCATGAACTTAGAAACCAGGGGTAAACATTAGAATGCTCCGTCTAAGCAATTCTTAGAATAGAATATTGAGTTCAGCTTCATTTATGTTTGGGGCCCATGTGAGCTCTCTCACTTTATGCAGAATTTATTTTCATAGGCTAATCAAATAACCATGTATTTTCTGCATGTCATTTTGGCATCCCCTGATGGATTGGTGTTTCCCATAATTAGGCTGGTTAACGCAGAGACGCTAGGAGAAAGTTGGGGCTGTAATAGCAGTTTTAGAAGGACCCAAAAAGATGAATACCAATTAGCATTTGCACTTGCATTAAAACAGAGAAAAGCTGAACAAGCTCAGAGCAGGCATTTTCACAGTGAGCATCTCTGCACTTTGCTACTTCTCTTGTGTGAAGTCTTCCTTGCTCCCCTCCCAACTGTTGTATGTTGGGCGCAGGTCGAAACTCTTGGTGGAACATACTGCTTTAATATCTGAGGTTAGATTTGAAGAATTTTGCTCATCTGTTTCCACTCAAATATTCTACTCTCACACCAAAATAAATATATTCTGAAACTCCATTCTGTAACTATAGAAACCCCGATCTTCAATGTGTTTCAGCTGGAAACACAAAAGAATTCTCAAAGAGGAGTATGTTGTTAATTATTGATCTATGAATAGCTTAGATTTCATAAACCCTTAAAGTTTCTGTAGATTCAGGGTTTTTTCCTCTCTTTTTTTCTTTCCCCATTTTTGAAATTAGACCTAGCCACATTTAAATAAAGAGTGATGCTAAAGCAATGCAATGAATATTATTTTAGCTCGGCTATTAAAATTTACTAAGGACCTGCTGTAATACTCTGAGTCCTATGTAGACCTGCCCTCGAGGAACATGGAGCCTTTTATGTGCAACTCAAAAATAAACAGCACACAAGAAAACAAGAGATAACACCAACGGAGACAAGTACTGTGGGGCTTAGAGGACGGAACGGTCATGTCTACTTAGAAAGGCTCCAAAAAAAAATTGGAGAAATATTTAACTTCTCTTTTCAACTCCACCCTTCAAATAGACACAAGACCTGCCAACTTTATTTTATTAATGTTTCTCAAACCCTTCCCTCTCCTCCACTTCATTATCACTCCTCATCATTTCTTGCCTGGATTATGGCAAGAAGCTTCTTAATAGGCTTCCTGCTTCTTCCTCTAATCCATCTTCCTCCTCCCCCAGAGTCACTTATTTAAAATGCTAATCTAGTCTATCGTTTCTCGGCTTTATAGCCTCTAATAAGTCGTGAGGATTCCCCAAGAGAAAGCCCCATGTCCTTAGTGTAGAGGGATCCCCTTTATATTATAAAGGAGGCCCCGACACCTCCCTAGCCTCATATCTCTGAGCTGTATGTACACTGTATCAGAATTTTACTGCAATCTTTAGCTTGATGATAACTTCAGGTCTTGGGACATGTTGTTCCTCCCTCCTGTCTGGGAGATTATCCTTGAACTTTTCCCACTGACAAGCTCTTTCTCACCATTTAAGTCTCACAGAAATGTACTCCTTCTCCAAGAAGTCCTCCCCATTGCTTTCTACTCCTCATCACCCTCCAATGAGATAGATAGATGTGCCCACTCACCTTGCTATCAGCAGTCTTATTGTACAGTAGTATCTGTCTTTTTATGCCTCTGTCCCCTCCAAGAAGACATTACTATGTCTTCATTGAAGTCATGCTTTTTAATTTTTTTCCCCCAACACCTTACTTGATACAGGGTAGGCTTTCAATAAATACTTGATGAATGAATGAAGATAAAATAACAAAAACTGCAGAGATGGCAGCAGAAGGACGTTGGGCAAAGGAAAAGTTCAAGATTATAACATGTTTGGTTTGAGGTAAAAGTAAACACCCTAGCTTTCTTAAAGAGAAGGAAAGAAAAAGGAAGCAAACAGAAAAGGATATTAGGAAAGGAGAGTTTACTTAGCCTCCACTTTAGGTGTTTGCGTCTGTGGACTGTGATTTCTTGAAGTAGATTCTGATTGATTCAAGCATTTAGATAGCAAATATTAGGTTTTTGTTCCTTCCAAATAGGTGACAATTCAGTACATGTAACACAAAAATTGCAAGGGATGTGTTAGCAGCTTAGAGATGTTATACTGAGACTTTATACTAACAAGGAAACGGAAATATTTTAAAACATTTTATTTTATCTGAAGGATAGGAAGAAACGGCATTCTTCATTGGATAAGGAATTTAAAATCATAAATGCTTTGCCATGTGATAGACACTTTATTTTCCATTTTCCTTAGGGTGGAAAGAAAGGAACGTGCCCGATTGAAGACAGTGAAGTTTAATGCAAAACCTGGAGTGATTGATTCAAAAGGGGTAGGTACAAAATAATTGAAACATTAAGTTCTCTTGGTTGCCATGGATTTAACTAAAATTAGCATGTAAGCTTTCAGTAACAGATTATGGAGCTACAAGACAGTAGATCACTGGTAAAAATGTATTGCTAAAAGCCATGATGCGATTTCTGATGAGATAGATCTATAATAAATATACTAAATATTGGGGGTAAAGCTGCTAGTGATCAGCAGAAATGATGTGTTATGAAGATGACATAATAACTATAGTGAAGAAGAAAAAGGATAGTTTTGGTATTTTTATTTCTCTAATTTTTTTTCTTTTAAAATAAATACTCTCAAAAGCTAGATTCTATAAAAGATGCCTGCTCATCATAAGATATATCTAATCCTTTACACATTATAAAGTCAGGACAGTGGTCATGGAAATAAACAGATGGATCATCTAAGTGAATACATGGATTGTTGTGACAGACATAGAAAAGAAGAAACTTAACAAATGGAATTTAGGGTTATGCAACCATTACAGTCAACTTTAGAATATTTCATCACCCCATAAAGAAATCCTGTAGCAGTCACTTCCCTCTCCCCAGCCCTCTGACCTAGCCCTAGGGAGCTACTAACCTACTTTGTCTCCGTAGATTTGCCTATTCTGTACTGTTCATACAAATGGCATTATATACTATGTGGTCTTTTGTGACTACTTCTTTCACTTTACATAATGTTCTTAAAGTGCCTCTGTGTTGTAGCATATGTAAGCACTTCTTTTCTTTTCATTGCCCAATATTCCATTGTATAGATATACTCATCTAAATGTTTCCATGCATCAGTTGGTGGAAATTTGTATTGTTTCTACTTTGGGGCAATTATGAATAATGCTGCTATCAACATTTGTGTACAGTTTTTATATAGACATATACTCTTACTTCCATTGGGCGTGTACTTAGGAGTGGAATTCCTGGATCATATGATAACTCCGTGTTTAACATTTTGGGGAACTGCAGACTGTTTGCAAGGTGGCTGTAACAGTCCACATTCTCACCATCACTGTATGAGGGTTCCAGTTTCTCTGCATCCTTGCCAGCACTTGTTATTATATGTCTTTCTGCTTATAGTCCTCATGTTTGGTCTGAAGTGGTATCTCATTGTGGTTGTGATTTTTATTTCCCTAATGACCATTGGTATTGAACATCTTTTCATGTGTTTATTGACCAGTTATATATCTTCTTTGGAGAAGCGTCTTTTCAGGTCCCTTGCCCATTTTTAAAATGGCATTCCTTTGTTGTTGCTGAGCTGTAGAAGTTCTTTGTATATTCCAGATATTAATCTCTTATTAAATATACATTTTCCAAATATTTTCTCCCATTCTATGAGCTGTCTCTCTTCAGGATGTCTTTTGGTACACAAAAATTTTTTATTTTGATAGAGTTCAATTTACCTATTTTATCTTTTGCTACTTTCTTTGGTATTATATCTAAAACACCAAGGCCATGAAGATGTCCGTATTTTCTTCTGAGTTTTATACTTTTAGCTGTTACATTTAGGTGGTCGATCCATTTTGCATCAGTTATTGTGTATGATATGAAGTAGGATTGTGATTTCATTCTTTTGCACATGAATTGTTTTCTTAGTTTTATTTCTTGATAGTTCATTGCAAGTATATAGAAATGTAACTATTGTGTATATCAGCCTTATACTTTGCTACCTTGCTGAATCCATTTTATTAATTGTCATAGCTTTTTGGTTGATTCCTTAGGATTTTCTATCTACAAGGCCATATTATCTGTAAAAAGAAAGTTTTACTTCTTTCTTTTCAATCTAGGTGACTTTTTATTTCTTTATCATAACTGATTGCCTTGGCTAGAACTTCCTGTATAGTTTGTATGAAAGTAGCAAACTGTTCTATTCCTGACCTTGAGGGGAACACATTTAATCTTTCCTGTTGTATGATGTAAGTTGTGAGTTGTAAAGTTTTTTTTAAATCTATTTTTAAGTGATAATACAAGAATCGTATTGCTGTATTGTAAAATACCTTTCCCCACCTTCTGCTTTCCTATTCTCTTTCTCTTCATATCCTTACCTTTACTTTTCTGTCCTAATATTTTTGACTTGTGAGCATCACACAGAACCACAAGTTTAGGTCAATAGTTGTCACCATGAAAGCAAAAAGAAAAGCTGTCATTTCTCAGGACTTTTGAGCCCTAAACCACAACACTGCCCTTTGTATTTTTAAGCAGGTTTCACTGGGCAGCCCAATCATTGACATAATGATTTTCATTCCCCTAATACATTCTGGTGAAAGGGAATTTATTTAAACATGATGTCACTCTAAAAAATAGCGAGGGAATATGTCATCATGCATGGAAACCTTTCAAACAAATACTGTCTCCATACAAAGGGGGAAGATTTTTCAGTGATTCTTGGTGAGAATTTTAGGATAGATTTCCTGTTTGTTTCCTATATATAGTTGGGTATATATCAAAGAATTTTCATTGAATACCTACCATGTGCCAGACACAGGATTAGAACTTGTGAAAGATACAAAGGTAACACAAGCCCTTCCCCTCAAGAGCTTATAACATCAGTGAGAGCCCAGATGCCCTTTTTAAGAAGGACAAAACTTGTGTGTTGTGTTTTTTTAATCATACTGTTGAATACAATTAGGTACGAGTCAATGAATAGAATATAAATCCTAGGACTTGAGTGGTTGTTGAAGGAGAGTCAGTGATCATGTGGAAAGGGAAACCCTGAACTGAAAGTCATGAGAATCAGGTACCTGAGTTCTGGTGTCTGTTTATTACTGAGTCATCACTGCTCTTTGGACCTCATTAGCAAAGTAGCAGCTTTGAACTATATCAGAGATGTCAAAGAAGTTTCACCCTATGTACACTGATGAATTGAAGTCTCTAACTAGAAAATGTGTTGAAAATTATTCTGAGGCCATATATGACCTCAGCAGGAAAAAAAAGGGGGGGTTGTCATGATTGATGTCATGCCTAACACACCATTGGGAATTGTTCTCTGCTTGAGATCCCTGGATTCAGTGATTTTTAAGGTGCCTTCCAGCAGTAATTCTCCATGAGCCTATAAATTAAGAAACAATAAACCACAGTTTTCCAAGTCTCCATGAAAATAGTACATCAGTGAGAAGATTCTTATCCTGAAGTAGAACGTAAAGGACAATTAAGAGAAAGACAGGACAATTAAGACTGAAGAAAGGACAGACCCACTCTCCAATGGAGAGTTAAGAAAGTCAGGAGATGCCACTCGCTATGAGCCTTGGACAAAAAACTACAGAAATTAGTCATTGTTACAGAGGTCTCAGTCTCTGGGACCCAGGGGTAAATGCAGCGTAAACTGAAAAGGAAAACTACTTGAAATGAGGAAGAGGATGGGATATTTAAGTAACATTATCATTAGTTGCTATCGACAGAACATTGGGAGTTGTTGGGGATTCAGAGTGAAAGCCACGGGGACTTCTCTGGCAGGCCAGTGGCTGGGACTCCACGCTTCCAATGCAAGGGGCACATGTTTGATCCTTAGTGGGCTAACTAAGATCCCACATCCCATATGGTGTGGCCAAAGCATTTTTTTTTTTTTTAAGTTTTTTTAACAGTGAAAGCTGTGGCCACTGCCCTGGAGGATCTTAGAATCAATTAGTATGTGTAGAATGGGCTGTGACAAGAGCCTTATTAGTAGTGTGTACAAGAGCTATGGGGATTCGACTTCATGCATGTGGGAATGACTAGAGAGCACTTCATAAACGAAGAACTTAGAGTGCTTGAGTTACTTTTCCTCAATTATGAATTGAGGAATTACGAATATAGGAATTATGAATGAATAATTAAACATTCATTAATGTTTGAAAATTGAGTGCTAGAAAACATTAGGTACTAGGCTAGGTGCCTCATGGGGCAGCCGGATGATTAAAAAGGCAAAGTCTTTCCTACTTCAGAGCTCACAGAAAGATATATAAGCAAGCAAACAATGGCAACTCAATATCACTGCTGATCCCTATGTGTGTGTGCGTGTGCGCGCGCACATGCACTCAGTCACTTAGTTGTATCCGACTCTTTGCAGACCCATGGACTGTAGCCACACATCAGGCTCCTCTGTCCATGGAATTTTCCAGGCAAGAATACTGGAGTGGGTTGCCGCTTCCTCCTCCAGGGGATCTTCCCTGGAGGGGATCGAACTCCTGTCCCTTGCATCTCCTGCATTAGCAGACAGATTCTTTACCACTATTGCCACCTGGGAAGCCCAAATTTAGGGAATTAATCTCTATTTTAAATACCAGGAGATGGTGCCTCAAGATTAACTAATTTACCCAAGATCACACAGCTAGTAAGTACAAAAGTCAGGTTTAAATTCAGTTTATTTTGACAATAGAACATTTGCCTTTCTCATTTCTTCATACTATCCCTTCTTTTCTTGGAAGTCAGAAGGAGAGAGCTACTAATTATGACTTGGATAAGGGAGAAGGCTTCAAAGAGAAGGTGCTATTTGAGTGAGATCTTGAAGTTTGAGTAAGAGTTTGCCACACATAAGAAACAGCATGAACATGAAGGTGAAAAGTGTAGGCATTTTGGAGTAAGGCCATGCAGATCAGAGACACCAGGTGGATGGTGAGGATGGTGTGGTGGGAGTTTTGGCTAATGGGGCTGACCAGGAAGATCTGGAAGGTTGGGAAGTTTGTGTGGAAAGTCTGGCTATGAGCTTTGAAGCTTTGGATAGTATCCATGAGGAAATCTGAGGCTCTCCATTCCTAAATGCCCATTTGCTACAAATGAAACGCCATGTATCTTCATGAAGTCTGTGTCCACACATGGAAAGACCAGAGGACTATTGTGACAGTAATCGAGATAATGCCAGCCTACCCGTAACCAGGTTCAAAGTGGCCATCAGGTTGGGTAGATCTGCTCGAGAACCACCTAAGTTCCCCAGATCTCAGTGCACCCAAGCTTTCCTGAGAATGTCAGTTAAATTTCTAATGTATTTCTGTTCAGACTAGCCTCTGGTGAA